CCAGGGGGCATTTGTGACGTTCAGCATTATGAAAAATGACTTACTCCCGTGGCGCACTGGGGTGGCAGTGATTATAATATCCAGATAATCATTTCAAACAAATTATCATAATTATCAATCAATCATGAGCCTATTTAAGCATGGGCAGGGAAAGGGGAGTGTGGTGCTGTTGGCAGGGGGTAAACTATGGCCCAGAGCGCTGGATCACTTCTGTGACCCATGAGCCTCCCTCTGTCCACATAATAGCCCTCATACATTCAGGGTCATTTAGCTAGCGTATTTAGAGACTCAATTCCCCAGCTTGATATGCGGGGGAAAAGATACTCACAACTGCATGCACATACACACCCATAAAATCACAACTGCAGCTGACCCCCATTTGGCTCCCTAGTCTTTCAACATGCAGTGGGAAAAATCTACTTATAGGTCAGAGTTCATATCAACCCCTCTCATTTTCCCATTTACAACTAACCCTGCATCTAAAACACACGTTTACTACATATTTTGCATTATGATGCAGATGGAACACGAACTAGCGCAAGAGTTTGACTAAAAGAACATGAAAGCGCCAGCATCTCTGTCAAGCATAGAAAAAAGACATTTATCTAAAAATCATCAGAAATATGTTAGGCAAGCATGTCTATCTTCATTCAGACAAATAAGAGAGAGTGACACAGGCGGAGAAACAGAGACTTGATCGTCTTAAAGAGATATTCCGCTGTATCTTTTCACACTAAATCCCCTGTGAAAAGCAGCATGAATTGATTCAATCTCAGTGGTATTGAGGGGTGAATGAATGGGGCTTGGAGAGAGAGACAGAGAAATTGAGAGAGAAAGAGGGATAGAAAGAGAGCGAGAGATAGATAGTAGCCTTCGGGGGGAGATGATCGTCTTGGGAAAAAAGCAATCAGTGCTCATTGATTTTCCCTGCTGGTTGAATGGAGAGTGTCTATCTGGAAGTCATTATCTGCCATCTGATCTGCTGGAGTGTTTACACACGTCGGGATGGACAGCGGCGCTCTTCTGAAGATGAGGATTAACACACACAGACACACACAAAACACATACACAGAGCATAGACTGCCTTCTTTTGCCCTGCTCCCTATCGGGCTACCACTTTTAAATCCAAGGAATCCAAAAAGAAACACAAGTCCTCCGATACCCTATTAACTTCCACACACACAGACTTAAGTGTATGTACAATGTGTGAATGAGAATATACGTAAGCAGGGCCCAGATAGACTATCAACAGACAGATAGTCCTGTTTTGAATGGCTGGACCGGACCAATTCAAACAATCCCTGATCCTATCGCCAATAGCCACCGATAGCAATCTATAGCTCCAACAACAACCATCCTGTCTGCTGAGAGAGAGAGGGGGATGAAATGAAGATTCAGATAACATATCTTTTTATTTTCTGTCAGTAGGTGGGGTGTGAAGATGCATGTGTGTAAGCCAATATGGCTTGATCCATGTCTAAGCTAGTGCAGAATCCAAGGCCTCAAACCTCATACACACATACATATACACACACACACACACACACACACACACACACACACACACACCCACCCCCCACACACGCACATATGAGTGTACAGCTGTGAGCTCTGGGCAGCTTTCAGTAAGTGGGCTGGAGAAGCTACAATAACATCTTTGCTTCCGTTTTATCCCTCGCCTTAACCCCGACTCTACCAGTGCCCCCCACTTGCCTTCACACTCCTTTCAGGCTTACTCAGCAACGTGAATCAAGCCTGTGTTTGTGGTCAATTTGAATGTGTCATTGCATTGAAAGGGTGAACACATGTTTCTATTATAAATATGATAACTAACTGAATAACTGTAATGTTACTATAAATTAAATTTTTTAAGCATACCTTTATCAGAAAGAAAACCAAGATTTTACGTGACTTTTTAATTTTACTTGTCTATTTAAATCAAATATTTTATTTTATTTTTCTTTATTTTACATTACTGGGATATGTGTAGTCTTTTTCATCATTAAAAAAATATATATTTTGTTGATTTTAATCTGCTGCCTTGTGTGAATCAGTTTGTAATCTGGGTTTTGATAAATATACAGCATTATTGTTTAAAATGACCATAATAATTACTATAACCCCATTTTACACATTAGTAGTAGCTTCTGGCTTTTTTCATAAATCCTGCTCTTCTCAATCTAATTACTATTCAGTTCAATTTTGTTTTATTTGTCTCCCATGTTTATATTATTCATAGTAGCTAAAGTAAACAGTATAATGCGCACTGTGGTTGCATATAGATATTTTCTTCTATATAAAATATGTATAACGTATATAAACACAACAACAGATCTGTGTCACTGTAATGTAAAGCACAACAACACATAATAACTAATAACACAAACTCACACACACACCTTTCAACAGTAAACTAGTTTATTCACAAGCTACAACTTAATTAACATTCTGCCTTAATCAAGCATCGCAATGGTAATCACATGGTGGTGGCAGGAGAAGTTTTACGTGCACGTGTGCGTTTGTGTGTGTGCCCATGCCCTGTGTTTGTGTGTGACTGCACGATGTGGATGAATGAGTCATGTCATAAGGAATGGCTCATGCATAATTTCATTCATATTCATAACAGGCATGTGGTCTGCTACCGCCCGATGAGGGCCCACCGCAACTCACACTCTGCATAATGAGATGTGGCCGGCGTGTGTGTGTGTTTGGATTTTATGTACTATAGGTAAGCGTACTGTATGTCTGTGTTCTGTCATCTGTGTGAGCGTTAGTGTGTGTATTATGACTTTACACTTCTATCAGTGCATGTATGTGTGTGTGTGTGTCTTTGTGCCTGTGAGTGTATAAATGTGTGTGCATGCAGAGTGGAGTGCAGAGGCCACTCCTCTGTGGAAGGTGGTTAGGTAGTTTATAAAACCATCTAGGTTTTTCCACATTGTACGAACATGTGGGGAACAGGGAACAGCCCAAACCACCTGCGGTCAACTCTTAAAATAAGCTCATTGACTAATGTAGGATTTCAAATCAACCAAGCAGTCTGTGATTTGCATGCTGTTTATAGAGGGTACAGCAAGAAGACCCTTGACCTGAAATGCAAATTAGGAAATTTAAGTGATTTTGTTTTTCTAAGGGTCAAATTGGTCATAATGGTGACTTATGCCAAAAAAGATTTGAAGTGAAATACGTCCTGCTAAGGTTGCACACGAGACATCTCTGCAAATACGTTCTCCACTCTCACACACTGCTTTTATTAAGAGGAGCTGGATATTGTACTGAAAGTAGTCCACCATTAGTTCTGGTCCTGGTGTTTTGACCGTCCTGTCATGTAAGATAAGACAATAGGCACATGCAAACCTTGGAGACAATGTCCAAATCTCAGTTTTAATTTCTTTGATAGCTAAATCCATAATTAAAAAAAAAGGCAACAACTGCAGCACATAACTCACTTGACATAATGAATGTCTTGCCAACCAACATGAATCCAAGTTCACACAAGAATTCTAAATAAATGTTTCCATTAAAAACTCATATTTCAATAAGCCATTTTAAACTGATGGTTATTGTGCAGCAACGTCAGTCAATCAATTTTGAAATGAAAAAGAAAAATAATCACATTTTTCTAGACAATGCCAATAGTAGTTTTTGACCTATTTGAAATACTGGTGCCATACTGCAAATGTAGATTGCTCCTCTAAAACTCAAATCTCATAAAAACCCACATAATTTACAGCTGTCCCATTTTCAACCATTGATTTAGGCTTCAACTAACCTGCCATTGACTTGAGTTGGCGCTACGCCTGCATGGATTCAGTCATTCTGAATCTGAAAGAGTTGTCCACTCTACTGCAGCCATTGTTCTTTCATGGACCATTAGATGGACATGAACTCTCTTGCTGTCCTGTCTTGACCCGGCAACACTGGCCGTAAAAGCAAACTGCCCAGCCTCTTCAATAAATTTATCACCTCATAAAGTGGTCAGTGACTGGTCAATGGGACGTATCGGTCACAGTGTTTGTGTGTGTGTGTGTGTGTGTCAGTGTTTTTGTTTTTGAGTGAAGAGAGGGTTTCCTAGATTGCAGATCACTGTCTGTTAGTATATGTTAGTCATCTTTGATAAACAAAACTTACAAGTTACTGAATAAACTCACCACATGTATACTCTGCTGAAGTTTTTGTAGAAAGTTCAAGTTTAATACAAATAAAAAATATTCTATTATATTAATATAGATATTTTAAAATGTGCATGCCAATCAGATGTTTTAGTTAGTTTAGCTTTATTCAAGAAATGTCATTGAGATTTAGATTTCTTCGCAAGTGAGATCTGAGGACAAAATACACTTCCACAAGAAAATCATTTCACTCAAAACAACCATCACACACACACATACACTAATTAAAACACTCACAAATATTATTAGAAATATTAGCTGTTACAGCTCTCAGATGAAAGATTGTCTCTAACGTCCAGCAGTGTTGCAGTTCATTTAGCAGTTAGGCATTTAGAACCAGAACTTCAGTCTTCCCCATTTCAGAGTTGGTATAAGAAACATTTAAAGCCATCCTGGAATCTGGTGACATGGATATTTGCTCTGAACTCAACTAAGGATGTAAAATACCCCAGCAGCTTAGATAGCAAGGCTTTATAAATGAAGACACATTTATATGGCCTTAGCATGGCCACAGAGCTATCAGTCAAACAAAGCTGCAACTGGGCATGCATGTATGAAGATATTTACTGTATGTGTGCTCAAGCAGAGCCAGAAGATTTGAAAGAAAAGATTGCTAAATTACCTTGCAAATACAGTCATACAAAGGTAAAATAGAAGTCGTATTTTTACTTTTCGTTCTTGCTATAAATTTATTTATTTATTACTTCACCCTCACAATTACTTTAATGCCTTTGATGTATAGGTAAACCCAGCAGGATATTTTAATGCAGGGCAGAGGTACAAAGCCAGGATTCAAAAAAATTGTATGAACAGGTATAACTATCCTACCTTTTTGATGCAGCTGTCAGGGGAGGCTTCTTCATGGTCATTCATCATCTGCTAAGAAAGACAAAAACAAAAAGATATGTATTTGTAAATGATTTGCAGGAATGAGAATGTTGATTCCTACGCTTCACAGGGCCTCGGCCATGGGTTCACAGTTCACCACACAGACCCTCTGGGCTACAAATGTCACCAAAGGGATATAATAATGGACTGAGAGGTCACAAAAACACACACAGAAGCAAAGATAACACTACACACACACACACACACACACACACACATACACACACACTCAGATGAATGAATGCCCCACAGATTTGACGTTAATTCTCCGCTTCAGCGTTGCAGGAAATTTCGCGGAGACTGTCTGTGAGAGTGTGTGTGTGTGTGTGTGTGTGTATAATTAAGCCTTCAAGCAATATTTACTGGGGGCAGATGGGTGGTAGAATGCTCCCAGTGTCTGCCAGAGGAAATGAAGGAAATGGGGGAATGATGAAGAGATGGGGCAGCTCTGCTGCAATGAGGGGGCATTTCACATATAATGGCAACCCGGAGTCTTTCGCCGTCTGTCTGTCTCTTTCTCTCCCTCTCTGAAGCCCATTGATGGCAACTGAGGATCAAAGAAGAGATGCAGACTGTTTTCAGAGCCATTTTAGGTGGGGTGTGGGGGATCAGCATGGTATGTTACTGAGTTTAAGTGAAATTAGGCCTATAAAACTTCCTCAAGCACAGACACACGGCATATCTGAGCCTCCCTTTTCCTGCTCCCTATCCTCTCCATCTGCACTTTAAACAGTAGGAGTGTTGTTTGGGTGTTGTGACAAGACTGGCTGCCTTTATATTTGAGCTGACATATTAAAGTTTATATTTCCAAAACCAGTGTGGCCCAACGTGATAGGGAAGGAGACATTCATCTGCTGTGGAAACTGTGGAGCTATTCTTTTCAGATCTGGCATACAGCAACTTCTTTTATGCACCTTTGTATGTAAGGCCTCAGTTTACAGGAAGTCATTTTGAATTGTGTGTATGAGCTTGTGGATGTGTGCACTCAAATGTTACTCAAGATAAAGATGTCCATAAGTCTATGTATTCCTCAGTAAAACAGTATGTGAAAACATAGTAGAACATAGAAGTTTACTCTCAATTCTTCAAAACAGTGAACCAGATGTGCACTGATGTACCATACGCAGTGGTTTCCTACATTAAGCTGTCATAGGATCTGTTTCTCAGCCTCAACAAATGGGAGCAATTACAACACAGATACTTAACAACAGTGTTCTCAGCCTACTTAAACATCATCTAAACCTTTACAGAAGCATCCTGTTCCTGAATCAGTTTCAAAGAACGCAACAGTAAACATGTCATACCCCACAAGAGATGCAGTCTCCCTCATGGCCAATCCAATTTGTCACATCGTTTTGACTCGTACCTGTAGCAATCCTATTTTTAAAAATGTGCAGAAGAGTGGTGAAGTGCAGTACTGAAAGTTTCATCAAAATGTGATGCAGATGCACTCTGGCCACTATACAGCATCTTGTGAAGGTGTGTATGAGAGAAGTGGTTAGGTGCAGGTTTGAACAAGCAAAGGAGACAGATTACAAAATGGCCATTTTGTCTAAAAACAAACAAACATAGCCATTTATTTCTCTTGTTTTTTAATTTTTTCAAAAAATAACATATTTTTCAATATGTCTGCTCTGTACGTAACAAAATGTGCTGGTGAACTTTAAACATGGCGATAGAGTGCGTAAGAGAGAGAGAGAGAGAGAGAGAGGGGTGGGGATGGGGGGGAGGACTTCCCCTTTCTTGTAATGCACTAGACCAGCTGCAACAGTTTACAAAACCAACAGCTTGGCTGGGCCATCTAAAATGCTACCAGGCGTTCAACAACTATAGGACAATTTCTGGACTTTCCCCCTGCTCTGTTCAGCTACATGCCAAGTGTAAATATGTGTGTGTATCAAATTGTGCAAGAGTAACCCAAAACTGTAGAAGACATGCAAGCAGACATGAGTGGTTTTACTGATGCCTTAATGTCTTTCAGATTCATGTGGGGGGTCGGTATGGTGTGGTCTTTCTATCGTCCAAACCTCAGTCTTTGGCCCAGAAACACAGAGCTGACTTCCAGGAAAACGCTAATTATAAAACTTCCTGTCTTTGAATTCTATGCAATTCTGATCCAAATTGTTTGTTGAAAAATTACCCAATGAGGTTGTTTATTATTGTTGTTGTTTGTTAAAAAAAGAACAACAGGTGGTTCACAGGGTTTCCAGTCATGAAAAGCAAAGGCTTGTGCGATGGTGAAAAAAAAATAAAACTGTAACACAAAGGCAGGTGGGGATGCTCTTTCAATACTGGCATACTGTATATGCACACACACTCTCATATATACACTGACACACATACCAGACAAACACACACAGACAGAAACACACACAGAATAGCCTAGCCTTGCAGCAGGACTCCACCAAGCAAATAAATAAGCTATTAATTAGGGAAGGAAAATGTGATTGCCCACTGACTGGCGGTGCTATGATTTATTGCACGTGTCACCGTCATCTCAAAGTGACTTTTACTCTGGGTCGGTGAGACAGGTCCAAATAGAGACTGGGCTATGTTGAGAGGGATAGATTTTCCACTGCACAGAGAGAGGTAAAATTGTCCATTCGTTCTGTATCTAGCCTGCTGAATGCTGACATGTCAATATGTCTTATGAAAAAGAGAAAACACTGAAGCAAGGGTAATTAGAAAGTGTGTGTAAGTGTGTGTCTGGGCACACAAACTTCTCTCTCTGGCCCATATGACCTCAAACATAAACAAATCCAGTCGTGGCTTGATGAAAGTGCAGCCACCTGCAGAATCCTTCCACCGAGAGCTGTCCAGACCCTCATTAGGGGTATGCGTAAATGTGTGTGTTTGTGTATGTGAGAATGTGTGTGTATGTGTCTCTCACCATGTCTGTGGTGTGTACATTCACACTTGGCGGTAGGGAAAACCCCCACTTTATTAGTGTTTCATAGCACAGCTTTTGTTATTGGACAGAGTCAGGAGTTTTTCAACACCACTTTAGCACCATTCGTATTGACATGCCATGATGACCAAGCGGACAAAAGAAAACACGACGTGGGGTGAGACACTCAGTCAGTGGACTGCCTCATTGTTTTTACAAGACCTGTCACAGCCTAAAACACATGACGGAGTGAAATCCCGCTCAGTTTATTTCCAGAACTCATTTAATGTGAAAAAACAGCAGAAATGCCCCAAGAGATTTTTCTATATATGGACCATAAAGCATAAGGTGGTTTTGCATGTATCGCTTAAGTCAAACTTTAAGAGAATGACCCATAAAGTAATCTTCTAGTCATAGAAATCACCAGTGAGAAGGCTGAGTAAGTAGCCATAACAACTAGAGTAGGATCTTACAAAGCTTGCTCATCATCATCATCCTTAGGCGCGAGGAGAAGAAGAGGGCCCCACTTGGAGGTTTGCGCCGTAGGAAAATGTTAGCATTCTGTTGCCAAAAACAATTCTCCTCAACTCTGGATAATATGAGGCAATACAGCAACATGGCCCAATGGATGGCTGCGGATGTCACAAAGCCACAAGTTTCCAAAAAGAACCAGCAGCAAACAAACCTCAGGGCTTTTTGAACCAGGGCCCTGACTGACAACCCATTGGCTGCAAGAGCCACACCAAGAAAGCCACAAATTGAAAGTTTTGCTACGCATTTATTGGGAACTTTTGCAGCCTCTTGGCACGTTGACAGAATTTCACTGTGGTGGCAATGCCCTGGATGGGTTATTGATCTTTTTGACATACGGATGGGAGAGGAAGCGGACTTTCACTTCACGGTCGTGTTGAATAATAAACTGCAGAGAAAGTGTATTTGTGTCAGAGAGCAAGAAGGAAAAAGAAGAAAATTGAGAGGGGATGCTCTGTTTTTCATTGTTGGAGCCTTTAAAATAGGAGCTAACTATCATGTCAAACATGATCTCAACAAATGGATCTGACTCCTTTGACTCTCAGATACTGGCAAATCAGATCGGAACACTTTTACAATCAATGAAACACAACTGCCCCAAAAAAGGAAAAAAAATATCGAGTCTCCAGTGTTTTTCTCTGAAGTATCTTGCTATCATTTGAACTCCATGATAACAAACATTTTACATGTTCCTGCCAGATTGTTTGACTAAGGATATACTTCTGATTCAGTCGGCTTTTTAGCATTAAGTCAGATGGTGCCTGGTCGTAGTTCTATGTCCTTTCTTTGGCTTGTCGTTTAAAAGGGTGTAAAATGGGGCTATTTTGGGACTTCCCAGAGATAGGTGCCTTGACAGCTGACCCAAAACAAGACCAGAGCTATCATTTCTTAAAAACATGCCTTAACAATGAGGTTGCTAACAGAGCTTAAGTAGGGAGGTGGGAAGACTGGAGTGGAGGAAATAGGGTAGAAATTTGTGCTGCTAAATACCAGGAAGCTAGGCGTCCATCAGATATATTTATGATGACTTTAATAAGCATATGACTTGAGGTGTTTCAGCCAAGGCAAACATCAAGGGGAGTGCTGATAGGAAACTTTCTCTCTCTTGCTCCCTCTCTTTCTCTTGTCTTAGTTGATAGTGAAGGTAATTATGAATATAATCACCTCTTGGATTCTTATCTCCATTTTCACTTTGCTGTGAAGCTTAATGTGAGAAAATTATACAGTTCATTAGTAAAAGTAAAATAAATTGACGTTAAAGGCATGCATGAGATGCCATTGTTTGAGAGAAAGAGGAGAGATCAGATTAGCTTGGCACTTATCACACCGCGCTAAAGCTAACACTGTTACCCAACCCTACATCCAGATGGGTCTATGCAGGGTGCGGCCTGTGACGGAACTGAGAACTGTTGGTGAGATAGAGCTTAGCGCACAAAGGTTAGATTTGGAAGGCAAACACTCAGAACTATTGTGAGACTCTGGAAAGTCACGGCCACTTGTCAAACACAAACGGCTGATATTTACAGAACGAGCATTGACCCCGAATGTCCTCAGAGTCTTTGTGTGATTTATG